TTTTTGTCCAGTGCTGAGTTCTATCATGCTCGTAACTTCTTTCTAACAAAGACATTAAAAAAGTTTCATCATGTAGTCACGTTCATTGGTTTTTTGTTTGTTTGTTTGTTTTTGGAACTTTGTGAGATCGTGACGAATGAGTGACAGTTTTTAATAAATTTAAAGGGAGCCTTCTTTGCATGCTGTATATGATAATATATTCAGAATTTTAATAAAACTTGTGTTTTTCATGCTTGACAAGCGGCCACGTACGACACAGACAAAGCTAACTACTGCACTATATAGAAAAAGATAATAATTTCAGAAGCACAGATGTGATTCTGCAACCGAGCCTGGTCCAAACGCAGGATTTAAGGAAACGGTTATTATTTGTATTGGCTGCCACGCCAAATCATGCACACCTGCTTGCTTTTCTGTTTAATTTAACAGTGTTTTTGTGAATATGTATATACTTTAATATAAATAATTGTAACACTTTACAATAAGGTTCGATTAGTATTTCAAGCGTTCACTTGAAAATATTAAAACAAATTTGTCCCCCAGGACTGGCAAAGGCTCATGCTTCTCACACCTTTTGTTTTTGGCAGGTTGGCACCTTGGTGATGCGTAGGACAACCAGTATGGCACAGTAATTGGCTGCTCGTCGTGACATCGACTCGGCTGCTACCCAGAGAGAGAGCCAAAACACCCACACGATTTCTCGAATCAAACACAGAGCATGGTGGAGATCGGCTGAGGATTATTTCATGAAAGCCATAATCCCTTCCGAAGCGTCTAGGAGGTCAGTTCCGTGAGCAAGTCCATCGTTGTCATTTTTGCAAGCATTTCAGGGGCAGTTGTAAAGAGTGTCCGCTGAAAACACTAGTATACACTCCGTTACTAATCCAGGCTCATTGGAAATATATGACAATGCCTTCATTTCTGAAAAACCTGAAATATGTTGCTCTGGGTACATTTTGCTGCAGATGACACATCCACAAGAGGCAATAAGCGATATAATTTTTTTCTCTCCATTGCAGATGCGGGTTTATTAAGCAGCACAGTGTCATGAAAACCATGTCTGTGGTTATCAAATGGTTGCAAAATTATATTGTGTTGTTTGTAGCACGTTTCATGGCAGATTCAAAGAGAAATGTCCCATGTCTGGTGTTAAATAGCATGTTTAATTTTCTCTGAAACTTAAAAGTTAAAGGTAAGTGACTGTGGCAGCATTTAATTCTGCTGGTCGTTGTACGTATCACAGCATTTCCAGTGAGTGGCGAAAGAGGTCCATTTGAAATGAACATATATGAATTAATATATCTACACCAAACCCTACCCTAAAAGTAACTCACAGTATTAACTAAAGCAAATGTGAGCTAAAAATGGATTACCTGAAGCAAAACATGCCAT